TTATTGATAGTTGCTTATTAAAAATTTTTAGTTTTTAAAAAAATTATCACCGCCATTACTTTTGCCGGAGACTGTATAAAAAGAATGCGTTTGGGACATCTTGTCTAAAAGATTAATTTTGTTGAAAAAAAATTTGTCAATACATTTCTCTAGCAAAATAGCATAGTGGAAGTTTGTTGTTACACGAAATTTTGTACAGAACTCATTGCTTCTGAAACTTCGCCAGTGTATAGTTGTTGCCTCTCTAAATTGGAGATCAAGTTCGGATCAAATTCAAATCCTGTTTATCACTTACTTTTTATTGCCAGAATGTTTGCCATGTATTGTAAAGCTACGTTGCACAATATAAAAAATTAGTGTAACATTTCAAATTTCCACTATGCTTAGCAAAATAAAAAAAAACCCCCATGAATAATTATCCCATTTCGGATTTTATCGTTTCTGATCCCGATACTCATTGTGTGAATAATAATAATAATAATGCTTGTGACATTTCGTTCCTTTCTGCATATGTTGATCGTAATGAAGTGAATCAGAACTTGCCGAATGCTCCACTGAGTAACCAGCCGGTGTCTGCTTTGTCATTGCAGCCATGGCACCCTTTGGAAAAACTTTTAGAACTTTTAGACAAATTCGAAAAAAAAATACTGTATGATCACCCATCTACTCGTGCCTATTGTTCTATCCTAATGATGAGCACTGCTGTGAAATGGGTTGATTATGACCCTGATGAAACTTACGACCTAACAACAGCATTCCCCAAACTTCAGCTACCTTTGCGTATGAACAACCAAGACCATATCAAGATCACTGTTTGCTCGTTGTGCAAAACAGTAAAAAACTGTCATTTCCCACCTGTATTAGCAGCAATACCTGAAGAAATCAACATGGTTCCAATGGTGTACCGTAAGCATATATCTCCGATTCACATGAGCTGTTTGCTGGGACGTGCGTCTGGATCCAACCATTACACAAACTATCATCATTTGCAAGGCTTCATCAGACTATCAAAGAATAAGCATGCTTTGAATCTGCACTTGGGCATGATTGGTGCTTTCCTTGATCAAGGCACCAAGCCACCTAATTGGTTTCATGAGAGCTTGATAAATGCAAGCTGATGGCTGAAACAAAACAACCCAATATTTAAACGATATGACAACAATCGCGCCATGACACATTCTTCACCCTCTGATCCATTTCCAGAGCCTTTGCCCACAGCTAGGCTGGTTTCTCGATCCATTGATCGCTTACCATCTAACCAACACACTGTGCAACCACCATCCTTGGTCATCCCAAATTAAGGATACCGGCTGCAACTTTTGATGATGGTTGCTACCACCTTTGCGTCATATAAAAATGATTGCAACCACTGGTTGCAACCACCTTTACAACCATTTTGTTTCCTTTTTTGGATTGCGACATGGAACACTATCCCAAATGATGACTTTCCAGCATGAATCCACGATGAAGACTACAGGTATGAACGCTTGATGGCAGGGTTCATGGACTTGGATGATGACCTTGTGCTTCCAATTCAGCTCAGTAATCCAGATGTTGAAGTGTTGGTCTTCCCTGATCTCTTTCCCACTGGCCGTGGTCACTATGAAGATGTGAAAAAGTTGCTAGGTTTTAAACAAATTACAGACAGTTATGGAAAGTATGTTAAATTGAGAATGCTGTGTCCTGATCCACGGTTTCAATTGCATTGGTGTTGGCCACATTATTCTTACATGAATATAGAAAAAAACGGAATTACCAAAATCGGAACAGAATTTTGAATCAGAAGAATGTTGCTTGCGACTCACCCCTTACCAGAGCCGACTTGATATCATCGAGTGTGTACACAAGTTGCCCCATCATAAACGAATCCTTAACCATCACGCTACCTTCATCTATCAGAACGTCTGTGCTTTTTTTCAAGAAAAAACAGTATCAGGTCAACACAATGATCCAAGCTTATGGCCTGCCCCAAATTTTCTATACCATGACAGCTGCAGAAGGCAAATGGTGGCATCTGAAAGAAATCTTAGAATGCACCGACAACAAAGATCCACTCCCAACAAACAGACCATTGCACATGTACCTCCATTATCACAACAGGTTGGCAAACGTGCGCAATAAACTTTGGAAAGATCCAGGTCTTGTGCAATGGGGTAAGCTCCTACACTATTTTGAAAGGGATGAATTTTAGAACAGAGGAACCATCCACACACATGGGTTTGCCTACACTGAATCTTCGATCCAAGGCTTGATTTCGGACAATGCAATCTGTGCAGACATGCCTCACCTGGTCCTTGAGCCTGAGCTTCACTGGCTTGTCACAATGTTCCAAATTCATAGATGCATTGTGGAAAAATGCAGAGGTCCAGGTACGAATTTGCAACTGTGCAAAAATGGATTCCCTCAACCGCTTTCAAACGACACGTACTGTAGGCCAAATTCCAAATGATACATCTATCAAAGAACCAAAGAGGAAGACCACTGGGTTGTACTGTACTACCCTGAGACACTTTTGATTTGGCAAGGACACATCAACTTCCAATACATAACAACCCTTGGGTTTGGAAAATACATGACAAAGTATGCCACCAAGCCTGAACCCACAGAAATCTTCAACGTTAACAAACAAGATTATTACAGCAGACATGTCCAGGCTAGGAGGTTAGGGTCGATGGAACTCATGATATTGCTTTTGCAATATTCCATAACAAGGTCTTCCACTTCCATTCAATATCTTCCATCAGCCCCTTCTGAATTGAGAATTCGTTCAGTCAAGCCCATTCACATGCAAATTGAGGAGCAACAAGATGATGATGAGGAAAAACCATATTTTGATGATGCGATAGACAAGTATTTTGATCGGCCAAGTAATGAACTTTTCGAAAGTTTAACTTACCCTGAATACTTTCAAAGATTTAAAGTTGGGGGTTGTTCACCTGCAAGCTTTACTTGACAAGAGATCTGAAAAATAGATTTGTTGCTGAAAGGACCAAACTGTTGCTCGTGAGATTTACGAATTATAATGTTGACAATGGAGAGCCATTTTTCTATCAGCATCTTATAATGAAACATGCTGTTCACTCCAAGGTTGGTTTGCTAGGAGGATTTACAAGTTATAGGGATAGGTTTAGAAGCCTGTACCCGATAAGGTATGTGCAGGCCGTGTTGAGATTATCAAAAAGTTCCATTGCCGGCAAACTCCAACTTTCTGAAGTGTTCAAGAGAGTGATTGAACATGTCCTGACAGATCTAAAAAAGAATTATCTCTGGGACGTTATATATAACCAGCTTATCTTGTTGGAAAAGCCTTCTCTTTGAACAGCCTCCACACTGATGCTTGATCACGACCAATACAAAATATACAACATGCTTTGTAATTCTTGGGGCCCCAAATGTGAAAACAAGTATCCGTACTTAGGGTTTGTATTCATGAATATCATAAGGGGGTCACACAGGGTCACACACTATTAAAATCAAGTGATCAACTCATGTTTTAAGGGATTTTTTGCTATTTTTAATAGTGTGTAACCCCCTTAATGATATTCATGATATTCATGAATAAAAACCCTATCCGTACTTCTTCATGACTGGATCTGCAAGTACTGGAAAAACATTCAGGACTTTAAAAATGATAGACATGCTGAAAAAAAAAGAAAATCAATTACCTGTTGCTGGCACCTACAGGTGTTGCAGCACAGAACGTTGGTGGGAGGACCATCCATTCAACCTTGAGAATAAGACAAACAGATGGCCACTACCAGTCTTTGTCCCTAAGTACTGAGTCCTCGAGAGAAGATCAAGGCTGTTGTGATAGAAGAAGTATTGATGGTTTCCAATGAGCTGTTTTCGTTCCTGAGTAACCTTTTTGGTTTGTTGCACAACAACCACAAGATCTTTGGTGGAATTTCAGTGCTGTTGGTTGGTGATCTTTTCCAACTGCCTCCCGTGAACGGAGAACAAGTTTTCTTTTCACCAGCGTGGAAAGCATTTTTCCCTCTGTTCTTGTCCAGGCCACAATGACAGAAGGAAGATTTGGATTTTTTCCATTTGCTCAAGGAGTTGAGATTTGGGCACCTCTCACAAAAACCAAAATTGTTGATCAATGAAAAGGTAAAATATCTCAAAATTACAGGGTGATGATAAACACCACCCATGTTGTTAGTACCTGTGAAATATCAGACCAAATAAATGCCTTCATTTGCCAGCACTTACCTTTTGATGACCGATGCTCTGATCCTGTTGTTTCCTTAGCAGTTGACACTTTAAATCATGAGAGGATCAATGGTGGGCACAACTTGCCTTTCAAAAATCACACAAATCTCCAAAAATCCATTACAATCCAGGAAGGGGCAAGGGTTATGTTCTTTGAACAACCAACTCTTCGAGTACAATATCTGCAATGGGACGATAGGAGTGGTAACTAAAGTTATTAATGATGACAATGTTGAAGTTATGTTCCCAACAACTGATAATGTGGTGAAAATCAACGTTCAGAAAAGCACTGCAAATTTTAATATAACTGGCATACTGGCATCAAGGTATCAACTTCCATTGTAGAATGCATTTGCTCTTACTGTGCACAAGACTCAAGGCCTAACACTGCCATGTGCAACCTTGACTATAGACCATAACATGTTTGCACCAGGACAAATCTACATGGAGATGAGTCGAGCTTCTTCCTGGAAGTCATTGGACATTCTATCTTTTGATTTTGACTGCTTGAAAGTGGACGTTGATGTCAGTGTTTAAATTTCAATCAGGGCATATCACGTTACACAGACTGTGTGCACATTTATTTTTTTAAAAAAATATATATATACTAAATTTATTATTTTACAAATAAAGAAATTAATTATTTCTCCTTGGTTTTTTACTTTCCCAGTTCCAATATGCTTTTAAGAAATCAAAATCAACAGGAGAGAACGTACTGGGAACACAAAAATTAACAGGAGGGAACACAAAATTTTAACCCATGCTATTTGTTGAT